AGATTTTCAGGTTGCACGTTTTCGGCAAAGTTGGCCCGACTTTGGGGACAACATCCCCAGCATCCCCCGCATCACCGGCATCATCCGCATCAATGTCCGCCAAGGATGCGGATGATGCAGGTGATGCCGGGGATGTTGTCCACTATGAGCACCCCCCAAAAAACACTCGTTTTTTGACTCCGCGGGGAGATGCTCAAAAAGCCGCCAAAAATCGCTTGAACAAATCCGCAAATCCTTCGCCTCTTATAAGGGTGGGCCCAGCTTGGCGCAGCGCAAAAGTTCGGCGGTGGGTCGGCGGCATGGGGCGGACGGCCTTATACCTGAAGGTAGGCCCTGCGGGCCTAGGCCTTCGGCGATGTCACGGACCACGGGGTCAGGGGCCCCCGGTGGCCGGATTTACACGCTGACGCGACACAGCCGTCCACCGGGCACCTTGCCCTTGCCCTTCCCATTCTTGTATTTTCTTTTCCTTGAATTCCCGCTAGCTTCCGGGATGTGAACTTTGCTTTCTTTGCATGTCTTCTCTTCCTGGCATTTCCCTTCACTTCCTTTCGCTTCATTTCCGCTTCAGCTCCCTTCATTTCCTTGAACGCCCCTTCATTCGCATTCCTTTCCCTTAGTTCATTGTGGTTCCCGCGACTTCAACCTCGCTTCCAATTTCACGTCACTTTCCTGCACATCCCTTCATTCCTCTTCTAGGTTGTCCTTTGGCAGGTTTTAAGTTTTTCCCCTTTTTCACGCAGCAGTGGCAGCGGTGGCAGAAGCTGCAAGCAGCTGCAAGCAGCTGCAGCAGCAGCAGCCGCACCGAGACGGGGCGCCTTGACGAAGGCCAGGGATTGCGGGCAAGACGTCAAGGTGTTTTCTTTTATTTGGGGCAATTGTTAATTCAGTGGACGGCCATCGGCTGTTTGCGAGTCGAGGATCGTGACCATGCCACGCTATGGATTCTGATTCTGGGGATTGCCATAAATACGGAGGGTTCATCGTTCAAGGGCATGCGGCATGGCTGTATGGCGCATTTGGCTTCTCATCAGAGGATCGACTACAACCCCTAGGGGCTTTCTAATAATGACTGAACTCGAAAGGATAATTGGTTGTTAAAGGCGTGTACTGCAAGGAAAGGTTGCGATGCTTGAGCTGGGGCCGCTTGTGTGCTACATTGGTACTTAAATGTTACGATGTTCAAGCTGAGCTGCCAAGGTGTACTTTGTGTACTGCTCTTGTACTGAGCTGAGAACTAGGCGCCAAATGATGCGACACGATTCTGAAACTATACCGCCCAGTGTCTGTGGCCAGCTGGAGCTGTCCACGTGTGCATTGCAAAGTCCGAAACGTGTTTTTTCTCGCACATTCGGAGCTCCAAATGCGACCTGGCATGTTCTGGCTTGATGACATGTTGCTTGTGTCCGTTGCGTTTGTTTCTGTTATGCAGCTCCTTCTCTTGCCTGATTCTGTTCCCCTTCCCAAGCTCCGCCTCTATCGCTCACGCTACTGCAGGTGAAGCGGGGTGCCAGCGCTTAAATCGATACCCAAAACAATACCGACATGTAAGCCCGGATTGAAGCATTCGCGCCGCGCGAAGGATACATTATGAAGTCTAGCTTTTCGTTGCCGCTTTCTTGCCCCCATCTTTTGCTCCAGTTCCTCTTGCTATTACTTGCTATCTCTGCCTTTCCTCTTCCTCCTCTTACTTGTTCTGCTTCTTTTGCTGCCTGCTTCTCTTCCCATCGTTGACCCATTGCTATTATGTTTCTTGTCTTCTGCTCTAGCTCTTCCATTTGGCTTGCCCTACTCTTAATTCATAGAAACACAATGAAACACATGTATGTGTGGACACGTGTCAAAATGTGTGGTTTTACCAGTGTCGCGGAAAGGTCAGCGGAAGGGTGAGGTGGAAGGCCGTTTGTGCTGCGAGGCAAGGCGAAAGGCCATTTTCGGCGCAAGGAGTACTAGACAGCCTTGTTTTATTAGTTGCGGGTAAGAGATAATCGTATCCATTTGTTTCGATGCAGTTGGAGAAGGGCCGTTTTCAGGAAGTGGCTGCACGGCTTCACCTCATGCGAATAATTTCTCCAACCCAGGTCTTGATTTATTAGACCATTTTCGTATTCGGCGCTGCCGCATACTACTCGGGGGCAGTGAAAGGCCCCACTATTTTTGGAATCAGTTTGACTTGGTTGTTGCTGCAGGCAGAGCTGGGTGGACGTGGAAAGATGTGGAAAGTCACGCTCACTTAGGGGCAGTCTCCAGGCACCGCTTCCAGGAAGCTGTTTTTTGTCGCTCTGGGGGATGCCAAAGCTGGGCTGAAAGGCAGGGAGGGCCAAGGGAATAGCGAACTGGTATTAGACTGGCAGTTGTTTGCGGCGTAGCGTGGCTGCGTCGTGTTAGCGGGCCCAGAAAGAAAACGATGAGGGAGCTGTTTCTTGGAGGGTAGCAAAGCAGACTGCGTAGGCGGAGCCTTGTCGGTCAAGTTGGCAAAACATTGCGATTTGCAAACATCAGTAATTAGACTTGCGCATCTTGCGCTTTTGGCGAGCATTAGCTTGCGGCAAGTGCGTGCTAGACAGCTCTACTTGATAGAAGGTGCATGGCTGTTTACGTGTTGGACACGCGCAACGGCCCTAAAAGTTGCTTGATGGACGTGCGCAGTTTCGTGTGGGTAAAAGGTGCTGGGCATGTCTGGCGCTGGCCTACTGTCGTGTGCAGCTGGCAAGCGTGGATGCACTCAGAGCGTTTGTTGGTTGTAGGGCTGATCCACCCCTCACTGTACCCAGCTGTTTATTCCTGGAACTCGGTACAATGTCCTGGCTTTTTGTGTCAGCCTTGGTAGGATCACAAGATGCTGAACAGCAGTTTGGCGTCAGCTATGACGCAGCTTTTTGCAGCCTTCCAATTCAGCGCCTCCTCAACTGTAATTCCAGGCAGCCCTGAACGTCGAATTGCGTCACCTTTTGTGTGGAAGTCCGCGGACACACAGGGCGCACGGTATATTCATGTGCATATATGTATACACAGCAGGTATACTTGTATATATATATATATGTAGATTTATATATTCTGGTGTGGCTGTTGACAGTGCATATGTGTCTCATTACTTACAAAGATTTGCACACGTGTTTTATGTCGCAGTGCTACTGGAGTATCGCTAGTCGGACGACCTGGCTGCAAGGGACGCTGCCTGTTGGTTAGGGTAATTGCAGTTGTACTGTGCTGTACTGCACTGTATGGTGTTGTAATGTACTGTACTGTAGTGTGGGATAGGGAGATGGCCCTGGGACTTGCGCTTGGCTGCAGTCCTCGTTTCTGGGCATGGTTCTGGGACTTGTGTTTGGCTACAGTCCTTGTATTGTACTCTAATTGTTGATGTACAGTGCTGAAAACATCTGTTGGTTGTTGGCCAGCTGGTTTGGTATTGCGCCATCTACTGTACTGTACATTACTCTAGGGTACTGCGTATTACTGTACTGTAGTGCGCTGTACTGAGTAGTCCAATGTATAACAGCGCAGTTGAGTGTTGTTGGCCAGCTGGTTTGGTAGTGCGCCATCTACTGTACTGTACAGTACTCTAGGGTACTGCGTATTGCTGTACTGTAATGCGCTGTACTGAGTAGTCCAATGCATAACAGCGCAGTTGAGTGAACTTATGCCTGGCTGGTGGCTCATCAGCTGCGCTAATCGCTTGCAGGAGGGGTGGGCAGTGGCCACAGGCGTTTTCTGTTTATGGTATGCCAAGATCCAAACTGCAAGGAGAGGCAGTCAGATACAACTCCACAAAAACCGTTGGTGAGACAACATGTAGCACAGTACTGTGCTGTAACATGCTGTGCCGCAAATTGCAAAGCTATGCGACAATAACTGCGGCTGCAGTTGCTTTAAACCAACGTGTTCACTACTGCAACAGTTTTACAGTACTGTGTTGTACTTTTACTATATATGCTTCCAGCCATGCAATATGTTCACGAGGCTTGCCGGCGCACAGCTGCAAGCCGGTGCGTTCTCGGGAGGTGTGGCAACCACTGCAACGGAGATGCTCCGTGCAGCACAGAAAGCCATGGCAGGAGGCACGCCCCGAGGGGCACTGCAAAAGCATCGTTAGCAAAGCGTCGCCGTCAAGGCATTCTCGCAGCTGTTGAAAGCGTTGTCGTTACAAATTTGTGCTCGAGCTGGCGTCTTCATAGTATTTTTGTGGCGAGTGAACTCACCGTGCGGCAGTTCTCCCTGGCGATTCTGGACCAGGTGCTCACTCCAGGCACACATTCTGCTGTATTCCGGGCCATGCCGCAGCCAGTTCTGGATGAATTGGTCAACGCGGTGCCGGAGGAAGCTACTACTGAACAGATTGCTGAAGAGGTGCAATACGCAAGGGAGGAAGTTGGTGCAGGAGCAGGCATACAGGCTGCGGAGCCTCCAGAGATCCCTGTAGAAGTGCTGTGTGTTCCCGAGGACTCGCGCTTTGAGGCTCTTATTCAGCCGAAAGGGCAGAGCAAATTGCCGTTGAATCGGAATGGAGATCCTGTGCATTCGCATTATCAACGACACACACCACCTCTTTTTTGGCAGAGCGTGAAGCAAGATGTGCAGCGATCAAAGCCGGAGCGTCCTGCCAGAGCTGTCGAAGCTGCAATCTTGGTTTGCCGCCCGAGGGGTGCAGTTTAACGATTTCTTCCAAAGCATCACAGAGGCCAATTTGGCTTGGGGCAGCTGGCAGCAGCAGACTGGCAAATTTTGGCGCTGTGCGCTGAAGCGTCCTTTTGTGAAGCCCTCCCTGGACTTGTGCCATGCTACTGTGGAGCATGATCCGCAAACAGGCCGCATGTCTTTTGGCTTTGAAGATGGGTCACGGGAAGCCTACTCGCCAGCCATTCACAGCTCAAGTATGTACACTGCGTGTTCTATATTGCAGAATGGTACTCAGCCAGGCGAAGCAACCAAAAGCGGCTTAGTCGGCGTTTACTGCTATTCCTCGAACACGGACAAGCAAATTGCAAATAGATCTGCAGGCTACAGCGTCAGTTCGGAGCTTTTCATGGATGGCGTGTACTGGACAATCAAATACGAGCTCCAGGTGGCGAAGTTCATGTCAGGCTTTCAAGGATATCCAAAGCTCAGCGCAGGGGCCAAGCAATGGGCAGCGTCGACGCATATGCCAGAGAACGAAGCTGACAATTTCGGTCCCGTGTTTCATGTGACTGCTGTGTGGATCCACGCGCTACGGTGGGACCAGATCCAGGATGCTGATGTTTGGATCAGCTTTGACCGGTTTCACCCAGAGTACGAGATGGTTCCGGAGACTGCGCCGTGAGCTGCGGCGAAAGTAGTGAAGATGTTTCCTTCTTGGCTACGCACGCGCAAATTGTTGATCGTTTCCCTTCACCACCAAAGATGATGCCTAAGGTGAACATTTCGCCCCGTGTAGCTACAAGAGCCTTTGACAGCCCAGCAGGGAATTGGACCAATGTTTCAAGAGGAGCATTTGCTTGTACGATGATAGTTATCATAAGAGTCATCATCCTTATCATCTTCATGATGATTGTCATCATAGTTATCACCTTCATCATCCTCATCATGATTGTCATGAACATCTCTTTCTTCTATACATTTCAAATGTGGCCTGGGCGATGCTGGTGATGCCAGACACGTTTTCTTGCCACATGATGCCCTTCTATCTCGTCAAGAAAAAGCAGCTCTCAGCCCCGCTCTCTACCCCCCCAGCAGCCGCAGCATCCTGTGCATTTTCAATAGACACGCCCGGGCGATGCTGGTGATGCCAGACATGTTTTCTTGCCACACGATGCCCTTCTATCTCGTCAAGAGAAAGCAGCTCTCAGCCCCGCTCTCCACCCCCCCATGAGCCGCAGCATCCTCTGCAATACCAATAGACACGCCCGGGCGATGCTGGTGATGCCAGACACGTTTTCTTGCCACACGATGCCCTTCTATTTCGTCAAGAGAAAGCAGCTCTCAGCCCCGCTCTCCACTCGCAGTCGCGCCTGGCGTCAGTACGCAAGCAAGCATATGGGCTACGGAGGACCCTGGCTTCTGTACGCAGGGTTGTGGCTCGGCTACTGGGGTTCAAGTTTACAGTGAAACCAAGAAACAGCACAAAAAATGCACTTTTTTTTTGCTCGAAAACCACAACTAAATCCGGCGGCCTTTTCAAGGAGGCCTCCATCGTGTAAGAACGTCCGATAGTCCCTGGTTGTTTTCGAGCCCGACACCATGGGTCTTACCCAGAGTCAGCAGGGTTCTGAAAATTACTTTGGGTTTGTTGTCCTTCGAACCATCATTTGCAGAATGCATTTGAGGGTGTCTTTTTAAAGGAGTCAGTTTTCCTTTGGGATCTTGTTTGAGAATTTTTACATGTCATGACGGGTTTCTTTTAGTGAAGCAGTAGGGGCTAATCGTCGACTGTCTATATGTTGTTTTCTTCTTGGAACGGGCCCATAGGGAGCTTCAAAACTTGGCGCGATGCCAGATTTGTTCGTAACGTGCGGAATGCGATCCTTGACATGGCTGTACTCGGGTAACGGGAAAGCTCAGAAACGAACCCACCAACATCCACCAACTATTCACGACTTGTCACAGTTTTACCTCGGTAAAGATCGATGTTTGTTGCGCTTGAACCCGTGGTTGTTGAAAGCATTTGGGGATTTTCGGTGGTAATTACCAAGGTTTCCTCTGTTGAGTAGGGAGCCAACCACCAAAGACAAAGGGTTTGCCACCATAGAAAGGTTATTTTCGGACAGCCATGCTTGAATCCGCGGCATTCTTCCGTCCAACTCTGTGAATCTGCTCGAAAAGCAGAGGTGTCCTTTAAGCAGGCTGCATGTTTTGAAGCAAGCAGGTTTACTTGTGTTAGAGAACTGCATGTTGTGTGAGACGTGAGCACATTAAAGACAACTACCATGGAGGCAGAGTCTCAGTATTAGTAACAGGGCTGGGTCCAAAAAAGATTAGAAGTCCATGGCGACGGCGGAGCTTGTGGGCGGGCGAGCTGGCTCTATGTGCAAGAAGGGCGGCGCAGGTCAGGCAGGGTGGATCTTTTTGGGTCTTAGAGGACGGGTTCCTGCTGGCGGGTCGGCATGCCTCAAGCTGTCAAGCTGCGAGTGTTCCAATCCAGGGAATGTGACGCGCTAACTGCAGGCCGATTCTAATGAATCAATGCGGCTTCGGTCCAGGCGTCAACACGGAAGGACAGATCTTGTTTGCTGGAAAGATAAGCTCATTGTTGAGACGTTTTCCTTCAGCCGCTTTGCCATGAAATCATAGTGCCCGAGTTTTAACGTGGGCGCGGCATGATTGCTTCGGCGTTTGAAGTGCCCTCGTACAGTACGGAGCGGCACATGTTTCAAGGCAGATCAGTTCAGAGCTTGTGCAAGGTGTTCAGAAGCTTGCAAAGCTGCAGGATGGGTTGGCGTCCAATGTTTCGGCCACAATCGGGGTACAGATGCCACTGTGCAGTTGGTTCGAGCTTGCGACATCAACTTACATGCATGGCAGCACTTCGTTGGACGTGCATCGTACAGCGACACTAGCTATCGCGAGGTGTAGAAATGTTGCTCCCCATGCTGCTGTTCGGGCGGGGCGCATGTTTTTTGCCTACGCAGCAGAAGCAGAAGAGGAAACAGAACACGACAGAGAATGAGGAGGGACATAGAAGAATCAAAGCCTCAACTTGACTAACGCAACACGGCTAGGAGGTGTTTCCCGCTGGCCTTTGGGAAACTGGAAAAGTTCCAAGTGATGTGAAGAGAAAACATCATTTCCAAAGAGAGGACCTTTTCCTTCAACCTGACGAAGTCGTTTTAGAGTTCGGACTTGAGTTTGGACCTTGTCATGGCTATTTGGCTGTGCCGTAAAACCAGGTACCTTTCAGTTGGCTGCAGTTTTTTTGCAATCTCAAAAAACAGCTCATCCCAGATTTGACTTCTTTGTATAAGTTGTCATACTGGGGTTATTCAGCCTGACGGGACGGGAGGGGCCTGTCCTTTTCGAAGCCACAAATGATGGGGTAGACATCAGCGCCGGAAGGCAATTACACCGACCGGGCCTCCCCGTGAGGGAATCGCAGCGATCACGAGCTGTGGGGGCTTTGGATGCTTCAGGACGAAGTTTTGGCTCATAGTAAGATCCTTTGCCCCCTTTCCTTGTTGAGGTCCTTTCCCCTCTTTCCCTCCTAAGGCCTTCCCCCCCTAAGGCCTTTTCCCCCCTGAGATCTTCTCCCTTTACCCTAATATCTTTTTCCACCTTTCTTTATTGAGAGCCTTTCCCCCCTGTACCCCCGAAGGCCTTTTTCCACCCTGAGTTCTTCTCCCTTTTCCTCCCTAAGATCTTTTCCACCTTTTTTTTGTTTAGTTTCCCCCCCTGAGATCTTCTCCCTTTTCCTCCTGCAGATCTTTTGCCACCTTTCTATGTTGAGATCCTTTCCCCCCCCCCCCTTTGCCCCCTAAGGCCTTTTTTTTCCCGGCGATCTTCCCCCTTTTCCTTCCTAAGATCTTTTCCCCCCTTTCCTTGTTGAGATCCCCTTTCCCCCCTAAGGCCTTTTCCCCCCAAGATCTTCTCCCTTTTCCTCTCTAAGATGTTTTCCCCCCTTTCCCTGTTGAGATCCTTTCCCCCCTTTCCCCCCTAAGGCCTTTCCCCCCCTGAGATCTTAAGGCCTTTTCCCCCCACTGAGATCTTTTAGCTTTTCCTCCCTAAGATCTTCTCCCACCTTTTGTTGTTGAGATCCTTCCCCCCCTTTCCCCCCTAAGGCCTTTTCCCCCCTCAATACTTCTCCCTTTTCCTCCCTAAGATCCTTCCCCGTTGAGATCCTTTCCCGCTAAGGCCTTTTCCCCCCAGATCTTCTCCCTTTCCTCTCTAAGATCCCTGTTGAGATCCTTTCCCCCTTTTACTCCCTAAGCCCTTTCCCCCCCCTGTCCCCCCCTGAGTTCTTTCTCCCTTTTACCTGCCTAAGATCCGTTCCCCCTTCCCCCCTTTTTTTTTTTTTTTTTTTTTTTTCCGGTTTTTTTTTTTTTTTGAGATCCTTTCCCCCCTTTCCCCCCTAAGTCCTGTTCTCCCAGATCTTCTCCCTTTCCTCCCTAAGATCTTCCCCCCCCCCTTTCCTCCCTAAGATCTTTCCCTCCCTTTCCCTATTGAGATCCGCACGTTTTCGGCAAAGTTGGCCCGACTTAGGGGACAACATCCCCAGCATCCCCCGAGACTTTAGGATGTTTTTATATTTTCAGATTTTAAGCTTTAGGATTTTGAGATTTCAATCCAGGCCATTTTCCATCCATTTTCCACCCACTTTAAGATTTTAAGATTTTCAGGTTGCACGTTTTCGGCAAAGTTGGCCCGACTTAGGGGACAACATCCCCAGCATCCCCCGAGACTTTAGGCTGTTTTTATATTTTCAGATTTTAAGATTCTAAGTTCGTAGATTTTAAGATCTCGAGATTCTACTATTGATTGTTAGATTTTAATGTAAGATTTTAAGAATCTAAGACTTTAGGATTTTGAGATTTCAATCCAGGCCATGTTCCATCCATTTTCCATCCACTTTAAGATTTTAAGATTTTCAGGTTGCACGTTTTCGGCAAAGTTGGCCCGACTTAGGGGACAACATCCCCAGCATCCCCCGCATTACCGGCATCATCCGCATCAATGTCCGCCAAGAGTGCGGATGATGCAGGTGATGCCGGGGATGTTGTCCACTATGGGCACCCCCCAAAAACACTCGTTTTTTGACTCCGCGGGGAGATGCTCAAAAAGCCGCCAAAAATCGCCTGAACAAATCCGCAAATCCTTCGCCCCTTATAAGGGTGGGCCCAGCTTGGCACAGCGCAAAAGTTCGGCACATGGTCGGCGGTGGGTCGGCGGCATGGGGCGGACGGCCTTATACCTGAAGGTAGGCCCTGCGGGCCTAGGCCTTCGGCGATGTCACGGACCACGGGGTCAGGGGCCCCCGGTGGCCGGACCCCGGTGGCCGGATTTACACGCTGACGCGACACAGCCGGCCACCGGGCACCCCGTCCCGTTCTTTCATTTCTTTTCCCTCCAAGTCCTGTGAGTTGTCGGGATGATTTGAACTTCACTTCCTTTGCATGTCTTCCCTGACAGTTTCCTGGCATGTCCCTTCACTTCCTTCCACTTCACTGCCGTTTCAGCTCCCTTTCCTTGAAGACTTTTTATTCGTATTCCTTTCCCTTTTCGTTCCCGCTGTCCGATTCCCTTCACGTTCTGCCCGTGCATTTTCCATGCATCTCGGTTTCTCTCCAGTGCCCTCTTCATTTTCGTGCAATTCCTTTGACATCCATCTTCCAA